CCTGAGGCTGTGCCAGACACTGATCTAGGAGCAGAGTTTCTTGCTCTTTAAGTGGGAAAGTACCCATTTCTAGTATGTTCAGCGATGCCTTCATGGAATTACAAGGAAAAGAATCCAGCAATCTGCCACTCAATTACTCCATTGGTTTATCCAGTCCAGTTTTTCCCAATATGAAAGCATTTTTTGCATGTTTGCCTCATGTAGACTTTTGGGTCTGATGGCCGATTTTTTTGGATGATGCCAAGAATGGGCTTTAGTAAATGTGGGAAACTTGTATTCCTCTGAAACACCTATTGATTCTTTTCCTGCGAATAAACTTTTTAAATGAATAATGAACATAACAAAATATCTCACAATTTTGTAGCTTCCAAACTTATCACGTGTGTTTTTTCCAGTAGCTTTGGGAAGATCATTCTCCCCATTTTATGGCTGAGGAAATTTAAGTTAAGAAGAGTCCCTGTGATTTGCCAAGGTCCTAGTACTAATACTTGCTGGAGTGAGGTTTCAAACTCAGGTTTCCAAATGCAAGTTCACTTCTTTTCCATCTGCTATGCTTAGATAGGCTTTCTTACTTTTCCTTGTATGCAGGGAGAGTACAGCCCCTATCCTTGAGTCGGGACTGTATCCAGAGCTTTCGGTAAAGTGACCTCACTCTTGGCTCTTGCCGAAGATCCTCAGGGGGGAAAGAACAGCATCAGAAGCAATTAAAAAATACTATTTGATGATAATTACAAATGAAAAATATCATGTTGCCTTTACAGTGCTTTCTGTAACTGTCTAGACTCTCACAATTGTGTAAGCAGCAGAAAGGGGAGAGTCTGCTTCCCAAATCAGTCAGGGGGAGCAGGGAACCACGGGTTCCAAGCAATCTTCTTCACAAAGGAAAGTCATCAAAATCAGTGTCTTCAAGCCCTGCAATGCTAGTGAGTCTTTTGTGGATGTTACTCAAATGCAGCTTCTATTTTCAGTTTGGGTGTCTGTGAGGATGCTTCAAGAAGCGCGGGTTAAAAACAATTAAAAGAGAAATTTATGTTGGTGCAAACATTTTTTTTAAATTCGTGCATATCAGAAATCTTCTGAGAATTAGTGGAAAATGTATATTATGAAAAAGTTGTACTTTGGGTTTCAATTTTTTTTTGCACCAAAATAAATTGCTCTTTGAATTTCATTTCCACGAATTTTTTAAAGCATTAGTACGCAGCTGCTTTAACAAGCTCATAGTGATACTGGGTACAATTTCAGTAGCAAGGAACTTAAGTCACTATTAAATGTGACTTAAACATTGGAGGATTACAATAACACTGGTATCTGAGAGCGAACTCCAGAGATTCTAATTTCATTGGTCTAGGATGTGGGTTGTGGTTTCAAGATTTTAGAGAGTCATTCAGTTGATTCTGAGGTGCAACAAGGTTCGACTTTAACCCTCTAAGGTTAGTATCCTAATTTATGACTTTAAATGACAAAATGATTGCAGTAGCACATAGCTAGCCATTTCAGATGGGTTGGAAGGGAGAGTAGTCATATAGCAAATGTGCCACATCTTGCTCATAGAAGTTTTCTGATAAAATGAACAAAAATTTTGTTTTCCAAATTCCCAGATGGCACTAATAGATTCTGTTTTCTGAGTATTCCTCCCCCCGCCCCATTAATACACATTGTTACTGTGCTGACTGCTGAAAAGCAAGGAAACATAGTGGTTTTCAATTCACATTTCCAAGTTTTAGAATTGTTTTTCCTTTTCTTTGTTTTGAATGAACTATGTATTTTTTGCTACAGTGTTCCTATATTCAACTATATAGATTAGTCTAAGAAATATTCATTAACTATCTAAATACTATGTTCAAAGCTACACAGTGCCAGGCTGTGAGGGCCTGGTGCTGAATATGCCTGGTACCAGAGTTCCTGAGTTTTGGGGGTCTGGATGTTGGAGGGTAACTCTAGGTAGAGTCAAGGGTAAATAGTAAAATGCTGTATGATCAAGGATAGGGAAGTATGGAAGGAGAGAAGAAGGAATCAGATGAGTCCAGGAAGACTTTTCTGAGGACCTGGAAATGGAGGATGGGATCCTGATGGGATTTAATCACTTGCAAGCGAGTCAGATGAGTTTTATAGGCAGTAGGAAGAGCATCTCAAAAACCTAGTGACAAGGGAGAACATGGAAGGTTTGAGCAAATGGATGAAGTTCAATGTGATTTGAACGAAGAGCAGGAGAAATGGAGGTAGATAGGAAGATACAGAGAGATGCAGGATTCAAGCTGAAAGGTTCTAGTCGGAGAGCTTAAATTTCAGGAAACTGAGTTCTTAGCGACTGGATCTAAATCCCAGCTTTGCTACCCACTGATGTGACATAGCCCACACTAGTCACTATTTAATATTCTCAAAGTCTTATTCTTGGCTGAAGGAGGGAATAATAATTTCTGACCCTCAGTGTTGCTTCAAGAACTGTGGGAATAGAAACATCGAAGGAGCATGAGAAATGTTTATTATTTAACCCCATGAACAACCAGGAGTTACTATGTTTCTCTTTCTGGAGATTGCAGTTTGTGAGGGGTAAGATTGAATGAAGGCAACAGAGTGAGAAGGTACTGATAATCATGTTACTGGGACAAGAGAACTGGATGAATTGGTCAGATGTTAGGAAATAAGGAGGATTGTGAGACTGAGATGGTCCTTGAGATGGGGAAAAGGGCAATAGTGATAAGTCTGCAGTGAATTTTATGGGTGTTATGTGGTTTGTACGTGTTGAGAGTATATCCATTTATCTGCAGAGAATAGATTTCATGCTAGCTTGTTTGATTGGTTATTCTGAAGGAAGTAAATGACTCATAGAATTGTCCAGAGGGATGAAGAAGCCGAGTCCAGGTTAACCTTTCCAGTGCAAACTCCAGTGCCACACCTATGAGCCCAGCTGCTGCCGGAGTTGCTGTCACTTTAGTCATCTCACATTCAGGAAGCTGGCTTCATTAGAACCACAGCATTACTGCCATGAACAGGAAACCACTACAATCAGGAAGCCACTGCTGCTGCCTGTTCTAGCACCACATGTAACAAACTTCATCAGCAGAATGGTTGTTCCGCCCCCTCTTGTCAGACTTAGGGCAAGTACTAAGGTGTTTCTGAACATTGGAATTCTATACTTGCAACTGCAGAAAAATCACAGGCTCCGACATCTGTGCTGGCCAGATGCATGGACAGCATGCTAAACTCCTGTTTGTTTCAGGCCAAATTATCCTAGAACATGAGCTGCAAGGATATAAGGAATCATATGTTATCTCTTCCATTAGAGAAAGACACATTAGAACAATATTTTACAAACTGGGTTATAGCTAATAAGAGCATAGTAAAATCAGCTCAGGTGGTCACATTTTTTTTTTTGTTTGTTTTTTACTTTTAGTCCTGTGGGTTACGTAAGATGTGTCTTTCTCTGGTAATGGGGAAAACATTTGGAGAGCCATTGCACTAGCCATTGGGTATTAGTCTTGCATTGCAAGGTCTCAGGCCAGGATTACAAGTTACTGACAATTTGTGGACTTGATTTTAGGTGAAATCAAAACAAAAGATATATTTTCCCATCATGAGCAGAAATGTATCATTAGAATCCATGGGAGTGGGTGAAGTCATCCAAGAGACATAATGAAGAATGCAAGAAAAAGAGGCCTGGTGCAGACCCTGGGCAGCAGACTCCGGACTGTTGGGGAAAGATCCTTTTAGGGGACTGTGTTGGTCCTTTGAGGCCTCTGATGGTGTTTTTTGTTTGTTTGTTTCTTTTTTAATGTGCTCTCTAGGAAGAGAGATGTTTCTAGGGAAGCTCATAGTGCATTAGAAGGGCATGTTTCAAACACATGCCAACTTAGGGCTGATTTGCAATTGTCTGGCTGAGCTGTAGCACACTTGACTGTGCTGGACTATAAACCAGTACAGGGCCTGGTGCCATCTGACACTCAGGATGAGTTCGTTGACTGGTTGAACAGAGCAGAGGCACTGAGAAAATAGCCCTTCAGGTTCCAGACGCTAAGCTTTAGCTGGGAGGCTGTGACCACAGAGGGGTCTAAGTTCTCACTAGTCAAAAAATGGTAAACATAACTCTTTGCGGGAAGCCACTTAGAATTTCCTAAGAGTATTTTTGTTGTGTAAGAAATGACATCAAAGGATGGGAGGTCACAAGATGTGCTTATTTCCACATTGTATGTGTTAGCAAAAATCTGGAGGCTAATCTGTAGCACAATAGATGAACAATGGCATAATGAAGCAATGAACAAGTTTAATGAATGTGCTTGATCAACACGTATCAGTCTGGACAAATAAAAAAATACAATGCAAAAAATAAAGCCATAAAATTTTACATAACATGATATAATTTATAAAAATTTTCAAGAACCACACAAAATTTTACTGCTTGCTCTTGTGGGACACAAATAACATTGTTGTATGACGGGACCACAGAAACTTCTAGGCAATATTTGTGTAAACATTAAGGAGGCAATAGAGGAATGGATGGAGAAGCTAGCTCTGTTTCAACTATGCTATTGTTTTAGAAGAATCAAAAACAAATAGAGCAAAGTATTAATAGTTATTAAATAAGCCTAAGAGCATGGAAAATTCTATTTTCTGTTTTCATATTTTAAGATAAATATAAATGTATATACATTTTCTAGTAAAAATTAAGATTTTTTCCTCTGACCCAAGGTTAGGCATGTGATCTATAAAATTCTTTACTAGGGGAAAGTGTGTATTTGAGAAGTTATCAAAAGGTTTATGGAAAATGTACATTTGGAAAACATTCTTGTTTATAAAAATTGAGTTTGTATCAAAGTAAGCTTGGCTTTTGAATTTATTTTCCCCAAGTTTTTAAAAGTAACCTAATATATACATATATATACACAGGCATACATGTGTATTTAACATATAAACACATATACATATGCATATACATATTAACACGTGTACATCTATGAATACATATACATGCACATACATTCATAAGCTCAAATTAAAACAAGTTTTACATTATTAGAGAATACCTAATTTCTCAGAGACTAAATTTCTTAAAAGATTTATTTAGGCGGCAGAGAGCAATAATCTGAAAAAAGTCCTCCCACCCACTGATTCACTCCCCAGATGCTCACTCACAGTGACTGAGCCAAAGCTGGGAATCAGGAACTCAATCCACGTCTCCCACATGGTGGCAGAGACTCAGTTATTTGAACCCTCATCTGATGTCTCCCGGCAGGAAGCCATAGTCAGGAGCCAAAGCCAGCTGTGGAACTCAGGTATTCTGGTGTCTTAACCACTGGACCAAACGACTTCCCCAGACACAGAACTTTCACGTTGTGGGACTAACCCTTCTCTGTGATCTGACCATTTACTGAATCCCCAGAAGTTTGGAAGCATTGTTATCTTACATTTAAGTAACTGGAATGACTGGGGAGAGGACAAGGAAGAACAGAGGAAATCCTACCCTGCATGCTGGGAATTTCTGGACCTGGTAAAGACAGAACTACCAAATGTTGAGAAGAAAGTCATGGGATTTTCCAAGGGCAGGAGTACAGTGAGTCTACACTGCCTTGTAATTTTTGTTATTGATACACCACTTTCCTCTACCAATTCTGCAAATATATCAAGTGTGACACTGAAGGCTAAGGGAAGCAGTAGGAGGATGGAGGGCTGAGTTTATGAATTCAAATTGAGTTTTTACCCAAGAGCCATACATCTTAGGTATCCTGAGCTCCCAATTATATACATTATTTATTTTCCTTGCATCAATGGTGCCATTGACTCAACCAACAGGTGCTGGTTGACCCACAAGAGTACGTGGATTTAGGTTTAAATTTCTTGTGTAATCCACTGTCTACGTATTTATCTGTTAACATAAACTCTTGTTTAGCTACATCATTTTTTGAGTCTTTAAAAAAAATCTCTCCAGTTTATAAACACAGAATTAGTGGAGATCTTGTTTTAATTTGAGGTGGGTGGGCAGAGAAAGAAAGGAAATTCTTGTCTTCTAGATTGCTCTCCCAAATGCCTGCAGTGACCAAGACTGGGCTTAGCCAAAGCTGGGAGTTGGACACTCAGTTCAAATTTTTCATATCCGTGTCAGATACCCAGATTCTTCAGTCATTACTACTGTTGCTTTCTAGGGTCCTCCTGAGCAGGAAGCAGGAATCAGGAGCTAAAGCTGGGAAATGAACCTAGTACAGCAAAGAGGGATGTGAATATTCTCACTGTATTTTTAACTGCTGGGGAAAAAATACCTTCCCCTGCTGTTATTTTGGTAAATGAGATGCTCCTTGTGAACTTGACTGCTGGCTTTCTTGAGCATTGTTTGATATAACACAAGATGAGGAACCACTCCTAGCGCTGAGTTCCTCTGTTTGGAAGATGGTTGTGACCTGTGAAAATGCCACCTTTCCTGAGTTGTAATGTGTGGTATTAGAACATCTGGGGAGTTGACACACACTCAGGCTGCATATATACCTTTTCAAGAATGCAGAAGTTGGTCCAAGCAACTCATTATCTACATAGGTGGTGTGTAATTAAAATAACACATGTTCCTTGCACTCCAATTCGCAGTCCTCTATCTAGGCTTCCTGAATTCAGCCTCTTTTACAATGCCTTTTCTTCCCAAAGATTCTATACGCAGCAAAAGCTAAAGAGAAATGCAGACTTTACTGAATATTTCAGAGTGGAGACATAGAAAGAAGTTGGTATAGCATGTTGTTCTCCAAATGACTTGAATGTTATCCCTTAGCCATCTTTGTTTTGCCAAATCCCTCTCATTCACAACATAACTGGTAGCTTTTCCATTGCCTCTTTGCTAGCATTTCTCTAATTTTGGGGGAGGAGGGGGTTCTTATCTTCTTTTCTTGACGAAAATACACCTTTTGCTGCATTCTTCAGAATAATGGTCAAAGACTCGCATTTTCCTATTGATGCTTAAGCTTAGAGGCTTATTCTTTAACTTAGATGCTTATGTTCTGCAGCCAACAGGCAGCTCCAGCCATGATGATGCAAACATCAAATATGCTGCAGCTGGAGAAGTCTCAAGGTAACTTTGGTGAACAGAGGAAGCTGCTTTTGTTCTTATGTCCCTCTTGCTATTTTCAGAGTCATCATTTGCTGTCAGCAGTTTTCTGGGAACATACAAACCCTTCTCCACAGAACTGTTTCCCAAGGGGTGTTTGAGGCAGTGAACAGCAATGTATCACTCAGGAGATGGCCACAGCTACTCTGACTAAATGACAACATCAACTTGACCATAACACACAGACTGAATGCTTGTTGAATGCATGCCACTTTCCTGGCAGGAAGCAAAAGTTGCCTGCTGTAGAATTATTATCATTCTTATTGAGCATGGAATCAGACATTTTCAGATAGTTTTCTTAATATGCTTATGCCCCTTACAGTCTAGAGGTTCAGCTTGTGTGTCCATATCTTATAGTTCTCAGATTATTCAGGAACCCTGAATCTGTGCCCACAGTCTCACTCTATTGAGATGACATGTAGCCAGTTACTGCTTGTACTGTTGGCTTTGTACTGGCATGTAGTTCCTTCTTGTGATTTGGGGCCTCTAGAACTCTGTTCAGTTCAGAGGCTTGGTCTTCCAAGATGAAGCAGACTTTGGAGAGACTCAAATTCAGCCTCTAGTGAGTTCTGACCTCAACAGAAGAAATGGCTCAAGGTTATCCATGAATCAGCTGCTAGGTCAAGGCATATATCCATCCTCTGCTTCACAGGTGGGACACTGTCCACTACCCACACCATACCTCATACCACACAACACAGCGCCATATTACCCACACCACATGGCACCGTATCACACCATACCACAGAGCACCATATTTTTTTCCTGCCTTTAACTGGAAGAATCCTGACTCAAGGCTCCTTTTAATCCTAGAGCTGTCTTCCCAAGAGTCACAAGGAGACATATGCAATTTAACATGTGGTTTCAGTCTTGATCTAAAGTTGTCTGTTTGCCCAAGTGTTCAGGTGGATGAAATACTGTTTAGTAGAGAGTTGGTTTTTCCTGAAGGCCAAAAGAGCTATTTATACTTAACTGCTGTATAAGAAGATAGACAACACATTTTCAAGGGGAAAGGTGTTGGTATCCACATACTGAAATTTGTCTACCATAACTGATATGGTAGCATTGACCTGCAAGTAATCCAGCAAGAACTGGGAGAGATTCTGATATATCCGTTTGGTTTGCAGTCCAGATTCACACACTGTCACCAGGGCTTGTCTTTTGACCTCTTTGTTGATGAGAAGCTCCAACTTCAGGTCGATGGAATGATTTGAACATTGTACGAGAAACTGTAGTTGACAAATGATGAAGTACCAACCTGGGAACTGGATCACCAGTTTCCCATCCTGATATTTGACTCCGTGAACAATACCATCTTTGTTCCAAGACAGCCTTGTGCTGTTGAGATGCTTTGACACTGGGAAGATAAATTTAAGAAAAAGAATTGTTGAGAAAACTATAGGTAAGTATTTAAAAAGTCTTTTGTTCAAGGATCCTTATACTAGGTTCACAGTTTCTACGATGCTGCCTGGTATTCAACCAATGGATTTCTTTTATACTATCCTGTTGTGTCATGGTATTCAAAGCACAGGTAGAAAGCTACTTGGATTTATTTTCTCTTGCTACTTGAACCCGGAAGGTCACAGAATATGAGTATATTGCTATATTCTATATAATAGCTTTCCACTTAATTATTAGGGTATTTTTTGATTATCATCAGTATTTTCCCCAAGGTCTGGACTGTCACATTCATTTATCATGAAGGAGTATTTAGAGTGAAACTAGTATTTGGTAGGCAATGCAGAGAGTATCCGAGATAAGAAATTCAATACTGTACAGCTGACAACCAATTTAGATATTCAGGTATCCAAGAGGAATCTCTATTAACCTTTGTATTAAGATATTCCTTAACTATTCACTATATGGATTTTTGAATGCTTCTTTTGATAATTATGTAGGCCTCTCATGTGCTCATTAAGAGGTTCCTGACATCTGGAATTTATAGAAAAGCAGAGAATTAGATCCTATAAGCCTACATGTTTGTGTTGGAAGGCAAGTCTCTGAGTCCTAGCAAATGACAATTAACACTGACTGGTAAGGGTGTCTTTCAGAACTGGGGAACAGATATACTAGTTTTAATTGCTTCTATACTTTCTCCTTTCAACCTCTTTCAATTCCACTGAAGAATGAGAACTAATCCAACTGCAAAATTGAATTTTAAGTGAGCAGAATGGCTATTCAGAGACTCTAGGCTGTCTCCATATTGCATTCTTTGGTGGTCTAAGTGCTTATTGTTTCATTTATAAGCAGTCTCTTACCTGAAGTGAAATGAAACATGCAAAGGACCCTGTGCCAAGATGTTCATTAAGCTGTCAATCTGGGAACAAGGAAATTTCGTGATTTCCTTGTGAATAACTTCATAGAGATAGAGATTTAAAGCCTGCTTCTGTTGCATGGGGGGAAAGAATTGAACTTGGCAGAAACTGGCCGACAGTTGAATAGAGAAGAGTCTTGGAAGAGCAGGTGACGCAACACATTCTGAGGACAGGTAGGCAACAAAGGATTGATTGGGACTAAGGAATGAAGAACCTCTCAGCTGTGAAGAGTAATTCTCCTCTTCCTTCAGAGACATTCAGACTCAAATGATAAAATAGTACCATGCAGGCTAAGCAGAACATGTGTGCAGGTCCTGCTTGGATATGACTCTGTAATTATGGCCTCTAGCTTTTCAGTGGCTAAAAGGACATGGCCCTCATCTGGCTAGGTTTGCTGCATTTCATTACTCACCTTGGAGGTAGGCCCATGACTTCTTGAATGGGGCCCTTTTAAGAATACATAAGAGGTCCTCGGAGCAGTTTCCTAAAGATAAAGAGATTATACAATAAAAATCTTGTGCTGTTGTAGGAATTGGAGCTAGCAGAGCCTTTTATGCCCTTTTGATGGAAACAATGATCATGTTTCCATTTTGGAGGTTAAAGAAAGAGCCTTGCCAATTTTGATTTTGTCATCAGGTATCTTAATTAAAAAACAAACCTTTGTTCTTATTGATTGCACACACATGGGCTTCTACAGAAGACTGCAGGATTCAGGCAAGGGAATGACAGGACCTGACTATGTCAACATGCTAGCTTCCGTTTCTGTCACCCTAAATAATTTATCTTAGTCTTTGTGCAAGCTCTGTGAGGAGAGGCATTGTTGAGTCCTTCTGACAGATGGGGAAAACCCTGGGGACCAGCCAGGCTAAATACACAATTCCATGTAAGGCAATGGTAGTCAGAATGAGAATATCATTGTGTCATTTTAATAGTGGTTGCTGTTTTCCTACCTACTGTGGACCAGTTACTAGTTTGGGTACTCTATCTGTATCAGTTCATGTAGTTCACAGACTAATCCTACAGGGTTAACCAGGATGCCTAGAGACAGTGAATGACACACTCAAGGTCAAACAAGTTCACAAAATAACTGGAATTCCCCATGTCCATCTGGTTCCAGAGGTCAAGTTTCTTCCTCAGCAGATAATGAATGTTGAAAACATTGTTGTATTTAATTTTAAGAGAACCTAGGATTCAAGGTAACTTAGCAGAGCATTTAGAATCTAGAACTTCCTTAACAGAGGCAAAATGGCAATATGACACTAAGTATTTAAGAAACAAAAACATGTTTCATACATTTGTATTCATAGGAATGATAGCTCGCATTTACTCATCACAGTAACTTTTGTATGCAGAGACTCAAGGTATAGCTTCATGAACTACAGCTCATGAATTCAAATCATTCCTAGCAAATCCCTTCTTTCTTGGAGGCTTGATTTTTCCTATGCTAAAACTTGAAGCTCTCGACCTGATGACATCTTTTCAACAATGTCATCAGAGACAATCATTAAGCCCTATCAATCAGTGATGAGGCAACCAAAGGCCCATTCAGTTGAGTGGCCACGCCTGGTGTGTTTGTGCACTGTATTTCACAGTTGTGCTTGTTGCTCCACAATCTTCCACATTGCCCTTTTGCTCAGGATGGGGAGGTCCCTCCTTACCTTTTTTACAGATCCATGAGGTCTTGGAGTGATAGAAAGTAAATGAAGGGTTCCCTCTGCTGTCTGAATAAGCTCACTGCTACTCTACCCGACCCCTTTGTAGAGGTTTCATCTTGTCTGACCTATGAAGTGGATCTGGGCCAGATTTACCCTGGTTTGTAAGAGCCAAATGACCAATTGCCAATCTCTTGGTCACATCCCTCATTCGTCCCCAACTTATGTCTGGTCCTACCTGCTGCAGCCTGTGAACCACTTTATTGAGGGTTGATAGGTCGAGAGCTTCTGACTATAGATAGAAAGTGGCCCACTCTTCTCTTCTTGAGATGAGAAACATCAAGTTGGAAGGAACTTCTGGGGGCAGCTCCGACTGAATTGCTTTGCTTGGAGTCTGTTTCTGACTTCCTGTACCTGCACAATCAGGTTCAAGCTCCTCTGTGTGGCATTCACGGCCTTCCCATTCTGATCCCTATTGAGCTAGACTTTCTAACACCACACCTTTGCTTTTCCCATTTACTCTATATCTCAGCGATAATAAAAAGAGTGGCAGCAGCAGCGATAGCAATAGGAATATGTGTTGAGTGATGTTATTTTCTAGACATCCTGCGAAGCAAGTTACAGACACTATTTCATTGATTCTCCCAATTACCCCATGAAGGAGATTCTGCAGTTATTTTGCATATAAAAAAGTTGACACTATCAAAGGTTAATTGACATCCTCAGTAGATTGTTCACTGCTCCACTGAGGTATGAGGCTTAGAGTGCTCCCAAATACATCATGTTGGTTTCTCATCCTACTTTGGCACCTGCTGTTTCCCTCTACTGAAACCCACCCCCCTTCCCCTTCACTGGAAAAGTTATTTATCTCTTGAAACACAGCCTGGTAATAATCGCCTACAGATACCTTCTAAGATCCTTCCCTCTGTTTGCCTATTTGCCTCCTTTAGTAAACCATGAATCTCAGGGCTGAGACTTACCATTCATATAGCTTTCTGCCCAGCCTACATGTTTGTTGACTTGAGTCATCTAGGGCCATCTCTTTTATGTCCCTCTGTGGATGCCAGACAATAACTTAGAGCCTAGGTGAGGCAAAGGAGGATGCTGGGATTGCCTTTCTCATAAAATGAGTCCTCATTTCCCCAGAGGCTCTGCAGGTCAGGTTAGGTTAGATGGGAAGATAAGACTTTCACCCTGGACCAAGGCCAGGCTATCACACCAAGAACAGGCTCTGCTTATTGGCCAAAGGCCCCCTCACACCATGCTACCACGCTGGCACCTGTGTCAGGTGAGGTTCTGTAAATAGGGAGCTGTAGGAGTGCAAGCCCAGGCATGCTCTTACACATGCAGGCTCTTTTGTTGTTTTTTTCCCCTTTGGTCTTCACATGTTTAGTGAGGTGACCTCAGCTGTAATTCTGAGAAACCCAAGGGTGGAAAAACAACCTTTCTTTTTTTCAAACAACCTTTCTTTTTTTTTTTTTTTTTTTGCATTTCCTGGGGTCAAATAGCATGGCACATTTTACTTTTTCTCAATCTTTTAGATGATTTCAAGTTAAAAGGAAAATATGGGCAGCCCCACTCAAAAATGATGTCAGAGCTTATAAGAGGAGAGGCTTGAGGCAGGACACTCTAGGAGTTATTACAGATGTGGAGCTGTTGAACTTGTACCAGACCCTAGAATACAGCACAATCTCTTCTTGTAACATCTCACAAGATCCTCAGCAGGAAAACAGTGTAACTTGCTGTATGGGGCCAAAACACAAAGGCTCGAGTAAAAGATGAAGGAGATGGGGCCCTCAGCTAATGGCAGATACTGCTTACATCACTGTTCCTCAGATGCAGCCATAGAAGAGCATATTCTGAGAACAGCCAACTCACATTCTAAGTTACAGTCAATGCTATTCAAAGATGAGGTGGGTTTCTTTGGGATGGTGAATCTCTTGTTAAGGAGGACTACACTTGCATTTCATGGGTGTGACTTGAGCCTCACCTTGTGAGTTCTTTTTTGATTATGAAGAACAGAAGGAGACACTTGTAAACAGGTATTCCTATACACAACTAGGATCCTACAAAGCCTCTGAAATTTTGAAAACTTGGAGCATAGAAAGCAGAACACACTCCTTGTTTCATTTCCCAAATGTGTTGGATGTCCAAAGTGTTCTATTATGAAGAACAGAAGACTAGGTAGGAGAGAAACGAGAGCCATCTGTCAGCTGAGGCTGAGCTGATGACTCAGGGGTTGGAATCCTGGCTTACCCTCTCTCTGGGCTGTTCCAGATGAAGAACAGTGGATTGGATAATCTAGAAAGGTTCATTTATTCTAAATTGTGAAGACCCAAGTATCTAGTGCCAGGCTTTTGTAGTGACAGAGAAGTCAATACTAGGCCAATTCAATGTGTCTTCACACATTCAGATTTTCAGACACCTGTAGTGGCAAGATAGAACATTATAGCTCCAGGCACAATGTGTTAGACATAGTATGGTTCTATCAGAACATGCAAGGTTTCTAGACATTGAAGTCCCCTGAGAGATCATTTGGTCTTGGCTTGATAAACACATGGTCCATGTGCTCCACAATCTTACCTCCCATGCGGGCTGTCTTAGTGAAGAAGGAGCAGAGCCTGGGGCTGAATACTATACTATAGGGTGCTCTATCTTTCAGAAATCTCAAATAACCCAGAAATTCAGATGTATAAGTTCTATAAATTGTCTCGCCAAGCCTTGACCTCTTCTAGAAGGATCATGAGCCTTTTTTTTCCCCCCAGAAATCTTGAGATAAAGATGCGCTAAGGAAATCCTCTGGCCTGTTGCAGAGAGAGAGATAGGGAGAGAGGTTGCTCAAGGTGGTTGAAAGGCATATATTCTAGAATCAGGATTTTGGTAACTTTTCGACTAGAACTCACTTTGCAATTTTCTGATGTTGCCCTGAAAGGATCATTATATAACATACTAATGCAGACCCTTGTTTTTTGAATGAGAAGAGTGAAACCAAACAGATTGAGGGGCTGGCCCAAGACCCACAGAAGTTCAGTAGTAGAGTAAGGTTCAGAACTGCAGAGCTCTTAAGTTCTAGATGGAGACTCTTTTCCTGTCTTTTAATCCTCCCATGGAGTAGGGAGGGTGAAATGCAGAAAGAAGTGGGTTTACAGCCTCCGCAGACACTGGAATGAAAAACTGATAAGCCAGCTGGAGGTGTTAGAAAACAAATACTAATGAGCCTTCTGGGTGTCCTCTTATGGAAGAAAGCCAGCTGATGACTTGAGACCCATGAACTGAGCCCTGCCAAGTCACAAAACATGGGCAACTGGGCTTCCGCAGAGATGCAACAATGCTCAAGGCAGCTCAACAGTGGCACAATAAATAATGCTGAACTCTCAGACCAGATGGTATGCACTGTGAGTGCCAGGTACCTTCCAGTTTGACCACACCTTTGACATAAGGACAAGGCAGACATCACACATCTCAGAGAATGCACTGAGTGCTTGTCAAGGATTTTTGCTTTGGACCCATCGCTTGCTCTTAGCAAACCTGAGTCATCATGCCTGTAAAGTGGATGTTGTGAAGATGCAAGGAGATTATGAATGCCAAGGCATCAAATCTACACATAGCTAGAAGGGACACTCATGAAGAGGTAGTTCCTTTTTCTCTTCCTCATTATAGTAATACAGCTTAGCATTGCCATTTAGCAGGAAAAACTGGCTGATGAAATGCTTATTAAAACGGAGCTGATATCATTAGCCAATGGATTGGAGTTTCTCAGTTATGTACCTAAAGGTGTAAAGCCAGGAAAGTGCACAGAATCCTTTATGCATCTGCAGAAAATATTTTATTT